TCGTCGCCTGTTTCTCCTCAACCCTACTCTCCCCCTGAGGAGAAACCGAGAAAAAAGGTTGATTCTCAAAGAATGAGACATTGATGAAAACATAGTACTTGCGAGCAATGGGATCATAGCAGCGATACCCCTTTTGAGATAAAGGGTAACCAAGAAAAACACAAGGAATAGCCCAAGGATCAAGCTTACCACGAGTAGGGGACAGGTTGTGAACAAAACAACGACACCCAAAAACACGCATCGGAATGGTAGATAGCGGGGCTGTAGGAAATAAGAGCTGATGTGGGGCCTTATACTCTAGTAGCCGAGAGAGCATGCAATTGATGATATTCCTCTTGTACACCCATTTGCCCATTTGTGCTTTTTTGTAGGTCCTGCCCCTGCCAAGCCACGTTTTAGCCTTGAAAAAATCTGTCACATGTACGATGTTATGGTTTCTCAAATTACGTGGCTTCTTATTGGTCATTTTGTTAATCTGTTCCTCCTGGAAATTGCTCCCTCTGCCCAAATCGATGCCCACCCTTCCAACCTTAACCTCCTTGTAGGGTAGTTTATCCTCTACAAGGTTTTCACCCTGTCCTTCAGGTAATTCTTCAGCACCAGACTCTTCCTTTCCTGTATCCTCACCTTCACTCTCCAACTCTACATCAGCGCTAACATATCTTTTTCCAAACTGTCTCCTCCCCCCTTTCCACCTCTCTGATTCCGCAAATACAGGAAATTCTGCTGTCATCACGTTTTTTTTCAGATTCATATCTAGCCTCTATGGTCAATTCAACTGCATCTTCGGGCTTGGAGAAACCACGAATCCCATCAAGCTCCTTACTAACCCGAGGAAAATGCCCTATTTTTAACTATTACCCATGCCCTTTCTGGTCTTACCCTAGCCCCTTTAGCCCTTTCAACTTGCAACAAATTACTTCTTCATATGGGTGCTGTTGATGGTCTTCTATGCACGTGAGCAAACCATCCAAGTCCACTTTCACTCATTTTATCACCTATTAGAGCTACTCCTAAGCTCCAATGAATGACTCATTTGTGATCCTATCCTTTCAAGTTTTTCGACTCATCCATCTCAGCATATGCATTTCTGTTGCACTCACTTTTTGAACAAATGTTGATTCTCGAGTGCCCAACACTCTGTTCCATACAACATAGCTGGTCTTACAATTGTTTTATAGAAATTTCCTTTTAATCTAAGTGGTATTTTCTACCACATAAGACTCCAGATGCACCCTTCCATCTTGCCCATCCTACTCTTATTCCATGGACAACATTCTCAATCTCTCCTTGCTTATGAACTGTCGAAAAAAGTCACCAGAAAAGGTCACATTGAGTTACTTCTTGGTCTCCAATCCTATATGTACCCTGTTTTGCACTCCAATTATTATTTAATAGGTATAATGCTAAATGCTTTCATCTTCTATGCCAGAGCATATTCATGGAATGGAAAATTTTGACTGTACATCTCTATTTTGTTGTATATCAGTACCAACCAAGAAACTGGTTATAATGCAAGTTGGTGATTGATAATGTGGAACAACATTGAAAAAAATATGAGTATTGAAATTTTGTCAAACAAAGAAAAATAAATCAACTTTCTAAGATGAAAAACAATCCAGGACTCATGGGTGGAACACTAAATTAATGAAGAATGATATTAACATACATGTAAATGAAATATCTTGTTATTGATCATAAGAGAAAAGCATGCCATCATGGAAACAAAGATGTAAACCGAAGTATAAAGCTGGGTTTTTAAGTTTTTCAGCAAGACTCACATTATGCAATGACATACATGTTTCTGTCATAACAATTTAACATACCACTGCCAAGTATTTAACCAATAGTAAAATATCCATCTACTAAGTCTGCTGACAACCTTTGAGACTGCCTTTTGCCTTAGCCTTTCCAACTCAGGCTGAACATCCTTCAGGGCTTTTGATGACTTGACCATAGGATCAACTTCAACAAACTTCAGCTTCTTACTTAGAATTTCAAGAGTTCTCATATAGTCATCATTAACCTGAAGAAGAAGTCAAGATTATCACGTTTCCCTTGATATGAAAAACCAAGTGAAATACATATAGTTTTAAAAACAGGCAAGTTAAATGCAAAGCAATACATGTCTGTATTCTTAACAGGTTTAAGGATATAAGCTACATCTAGTATGAAGGTTATTCTTTCCATGAATCAAGAAACTGCAAGAGCTCTTGGGCTCCATTTTATCTTCTTAAATAAATTTCTTGTACCCAAAATTCTGAGGAGGAAAACAAGAAGAGATGGATATCACGAGGAAGGAAAACTTAAAGAAGATTGCAGATACATACGAATTTCAAACTCATTATCATAATATCATAATGATTTTTGAATGTAATATCAGGATAAAACACTTGTAAGGAGAATTGAAAATTCAGGGTCTAAAGTATAAAAAAGTAAAAACTGGGACTAAAGGGAGGAGTCAAATGGTTAAAGAAAAAGGAGTTTATATTAAAGTTTGAATTTGTCTTTTAAGTGATATCTGATGCAGAATCGAAAATTAGATTCAGAGTCTAGACTCTAAATTTGAGTAAGGCAAAAGCTAGGATAAATGGACAAGGGGATCAAACAGATAAAGAAGAAGATTCTATCTTTAAGTAAACAAGTTATCTTGTGTTTCAAGGGATATGAAATGTGGAATGCAAAGTGGTTAACATGCAAAGTCATAGATGACAATATTGCCATATAACGGAGGGTAAGATCATGTGGCAATGCATGACACCTCAGGTCTTTCTGCTGCAGAGAGCACTCCTGAAGGAGATATCAAAATTGGCCCATATTAGATCCATCCATCAGTATAGGAAGTAGACGCATTTTAGTCGATTCCCTGATTCATTAGATTTATGGGTGGACTAGATGAGAAAGGGCTGAGATTTCTGTTGGATGTCCACCCATCAAACCACCAAAAATAAGTGAGACTATTATTAAAAGCTCAAATTTGATAGTTGTTCCCTAGGCAACCATGTCTTTCTGAACATGTGAGAGATAAAGATCCAGTGGGAGCAGAGCTTCTTTACCTCCAGACTCGGGTTATCCTTCTCTGTGAACTTTCAGGGGTTGAATAATGAGGGTGATTCTCAGTAAAATGAAAAACAATACCTTCCTTGGGCTGAAGGAGATTAAGCATTTATCAGAGAGACAAGACCCTTGGTGTTTAGACTGAATTCCCCATTCCACTTGATTCTATGTTCTACCAAATTGGTGGGCAATATGCTTGTGAGAGAGAGGAGTCTATGCATTGGTGTTCATTTTCCCACCATAAGGGGAAGACATTGGATATTTTTTCACCTTTTACAACAGATGACATCAGAAACTGGAAACATGTGGCAGATTTGCCTTCAACCAAAGCAGTCCCCATTGTTAGATGGACCTCTCCTAGACCAGACTATATAAAGCTATACCTTGAGGGCTGTAGCTTGGGAAATCTGGGTCTGATATGCATTTGAGTGTTCAGAAATGAGGAAGGAAACATCAATGCAATGTACTCAGGACCTATAGGAAGTGCAGATGCAATTAAGGCAGAAAATGGGCAATTTCCCCATGGTATAAGAAAGGCAAAATCCTTGAGCATCAGAGACCTAATGGTTGAAGAAGATTCAAGAATTGTAACTGGATGGCTAAGTGAAACCTACACAATTTCAAAGAAATACAGATAACGTATGCATGAAATCAAGAAAATGATAGTGGAACTGAAAACTGTAGTGAAATGGATACCACAATATGCTCTGTCAGATTTGAAAAATGAATCTATCTCTTCTTTTTTAGTTCCTTCAGACTCCACTTCTGGTTTTGGGTGGAACCTCGGCCTGCAAAGGGCAATTAGGGATACAGACTTGGACAGCCTCTTACCTTTATTAGCCATCCTTGAGAATATCTTCATTGATCCTAATAGGGAAGACACCAGAATTTGGATCCCTTATACTTCAGGAACCTTCTCTTGTGCTTCGTTTTTTGAAACATTAACTCAGTCATCTGTCCCTTATGGTGTGTCTTTTCCGATTAAGGAATTTTGGAGCAAGCCCATTCCTCCTCGGGTTGGGGTTTTTTGTTGGGAAATTTTCCTGGAAAGAATAAATACAAATATCTACTTCAGAAAAAGAGACTCAATTCTTGTTTACTTCCTAATAGATGCTCTCTCTGTAAAGATGATGGGGAATCTGGTTACCACCTTTTGGTCTCTTGTAAGGTTACTAAAACTGTTTGGGAGTGGGTACTTTCTCGCTTTGGGTATACTTGGAACCCTCCTAAGAGTGTCCAAGGTTTGTTCTCCCCTTCGTTTTTCAGATGGCCTAAGAAGCGAGGGAAGATGATGTGGAGGAGTATTAGGGCAACCGTGTGTTGGTCACTATGGGAGGAAGGAAACTCTCGAATATTTTCAGAAAAGGAAAGATCCCTGGAAGAACTATTAGACCTAATACTTTTAAGGGCTGTCCACTGGCTAAAAACTATGGAACTATTCTCAGACTTTCCTATTGCTGACCTGTTAAGAAACTGGAAAGAGATAGCAACCTCTACTCTGTGTAAGAGGACTCTTAGTCCCTTGTGGTCCNGCAACCTCTACTCTGTGTAAGAGGACTCTTAGTCCCTTGTGGTCCCCTCCTCCCTCCGGATTTATAAAAGTGAATTTTGATGGCAGTAGCATAAGAAATCCAGGGCCCTCTGGGATTGAGGGAGTTTTCAGGAATGAGGAAGGGGTTGTTATTGCTCTGTTCTCAGGCCCTATTGGAGAAGGAGACTCTATTAGGGCTGAGATCCTTGCAGCTTTGGAAGGAGTCCAAAGAGCAAGGGAACTAAATATCAGTCGGCTGATTTTGGAAGGTGATTCAAAGGTGGTGATTAGCTTGTTGAAGAAAGAGGACAGTGGCTTKTGGAGTTACAATAATGAAAAGAAAAAATTCTTATGGCTATGTAGAGGCATTGAGATACAATACAGCTGGGTGAAAAGGACTGCTAATTCTTTTGCAGATGGGTTGGCCAAGCAAGGGGTGAATAGGGAGGCTATTTTTTGGACTATTTTTTAATCTTCTTTCATTGTAATTTTCTGATGAGGAGATAAGACTCTTTATCTCCCCCTTTTTTGTACCTAAAGCTTCATAATTCTTAATAAAGTTTCTGTTATTGATAAAAAAAAAAGGATACCACAATATGCTAATGGACTAGTAAATGGTTTAGCATTCAGCAAAACAAGGGGCATTGAGGGACAGCATGCTTTGAGGCCAAGTTATGTAAATATTTTGTACAAGAGATCTTTATTTTCTGAGTTTTTGTTAGATGAGGCTAACGACTCTTCAGGATATAAGACAACATGTACACTTATTCCAGAATTATCAATAAAACTTATTGTAGTTACTCGTCAAAAAAGATCATTGAATTTTGACATAATTTATAGTAATCATGTTTGGATGCCTATTTTGGGCTCACTTCAATAGCCTTTTCAAACCAGATAAGAACAATAATAGGCCCTATTGGACTAAGAAATAAATAGCCACATGCAGCTAGGAATTAGTCCAGGGTTGGGTTCAGGTAGTGGGATTTGAATTAGTGACAGGTTTGGATCATCATGCATCCTATTTCTATATAGTTATGGCATTAGGATTTCAACTGTTTTTATATGTTTTTTCATTTTTTTTTCTTTACATGCATGTTTTTCCAAATGTATTTTTTATTTATTCTCCTTTTCTATTAACATTTTACTTTCTCCATCTAACCCAGTGTTGCCCAGATTCATGCCCCAACACAGCACACCCCGTGGCCCACTACATACACATTGCACACAAGTTCAGGTTGGAATAGAGTTTAGTTGTCTCAGTTTTATCAGGTATGATGTTTGCAATGGTAACTCAGTCCTATTTTGGGAGGATACTTGGGTGGGAGAGGTTCCATTGAAGGACCTTTTCCC